CAACCAGCAAATCAATCAAAGAGAGAAAAAAAAAGAGACAAGAAACTCACCGAGCGATGCTCTACCCGATACCCCAACTTCTTCCCAATCTCCATCACACTATCTGACGTCACGCTTTTAATGATATTCTCACTCTTGGGCACCAGCAACACAACCTGATCCGGTTTACCTTCTTCCCGATCAATACGCACTCCGAGGAACCCCGAAGTTGAGAACTCATCGATCTGCGTCCCCGTCTTACTATCCAGATGCAAGGTAATCGGATACCCCTCCTTCAACGCCTGCCCCGACCACTTCATAACCGGGGCATAATTGCCCCCAATCTTGGCATGCCCCGTGCCCTTCGGCGCCGCCCGGTCAAACTCCTCCAGCACGAGGGCCGGCAACGGTGCGATGCCGTGGTACGTGCCGAAGGGCTGCACGTACACGCAGAAGGTGTACTCAGAAGGAGGCGTGAGGGCGAAATGCCCGCTGGAGCCGAACACCACCGGACGGATGTACAGCGCGGCTCCGGTGGAATGCGGGGGCACCCATTCTGCGTTCTGTGCCACGGCGGCGTTCACGGATTCGAGGAATAATTCAATGGGGACGGGGGGGATGGAGACTATGGATGCGGAGTGTTGCATGCGGGTTGCGTGGAAGTGCGGACGGAAGATCTGGATTGCGCCGGCGGGCGTGCGGTAGGCTGTCGGATTGTCAATTTCAGAGTTGACGACGCAGAAAGGGAGAAAGGCGGTGGCGGTCCGCACCTTTGAGACCTTCGTACACTTGCTGACCGTAGTTCAGGCCGGGTGCCAGACCATGGACGCGCAGGTAGGGGTTGGCGATGAACTTAGGGCTGCTCCATTCCCCTGTTTCAGCGGTGTAGGTGGATTCGATGTGGCCGTTGACTAATGATCATTTTCATTGTAAATATATTCAGTGAGTGTCGGTAAAATAACAAACACAAGGACGGTATCTCAGAGGAGTGTGAATGGCTCAAACTCACCCATGTCGGTCACGGCCAGACCTAATTTGGTCCATTCTGTTGAAGGGCTTGTCAGCTTGGGGTACAAGAGTGCAGTGCACTAACTATGGCGTGTAGTTCAAAGAAGATCACTTACCGACATTGGGCGCAGGAGCAGGAGGGAAAGTCATTGTGCAAATTGTTCTGTGATTTGATGTAGGGAGAATAGAATTGATTGGAATAATGAAAGCAAGAAAAAGGTAGCTTGGTAATGAATGAATGATTCTTTCTACTTTCTATCTATACGAACCCACGAATCCACGAATCCACGAACCCATCCGGTGGCAGCTCCGAGAAGTCCCGGGATCCACTTAGGGTTGGTGCCTGACACTGCATATCCCGCGGCTAGCACTAAACGGGATGGCATCATGCAGGCTGAGCATCAGTCTAGAAATCCTTCCAGAATCCTTCACAGCCTCATGTATTCCTTTCCTTTCCAGAGACATTCCATTTCATTCAACTTTAAGCACTGTAAACTGAAACCGCCCCCAAATCGCTTGAAGTTTCCTCGTTACGCAGCCTTTTTCCTTTTCTATTTTTTTTTGGGAGCTGCGTTTCCAAGTGCTGGTGGGAGGGCTTGACATATCTGTGTAGGATCAATCATTCCCTCTTGTAAATATCTCTTGTAAACGGTGACCATTCGCGAATAAAGATACCCCGCGACCTCATCTCCTTCCTTCCATTCTCCGTTTCTTGCAATGCAAGATACCCCCTAAAGAACTACAGCCATAAGGCTCGCAATGCACATTCCGTCCCCCCCATCCGGTCAGTTCCAACTTGCTTTTTCCTTTGCAGTCAATACAGCCTAACCTAATTGATTTGATTGATCTCTATCACAGACAGAGGTTCATTCCCGACTCCCACCCCCGAAACGGCTGACTGGACCGAGTACCACTGCAGTGACAGCGAGATAATGTCCAATGTCAACCTCGCCGACCCCACCGAACCTCCGTTAGAGGAGCTATACATGAATCTTCTGAACGCACCACCAGGGGCATACTCACCGGTAAGACGTCAACCCAACTCTTGTCCCATTCTTCCTCCCACTCCTCCCACTGACTCGACGTAGGAAGAATGCCCTATGCCGACCGGCAACTTGACTCGACATCATCCCTCCCAAGGGAGCAATACAACATCCTCGACCCATCTCCTGCATCCACAATCCCACCCACTACAGCGAAAATCGCCCACCTCCTCCCCCTCCCTGCACCCACAGCAGGATCCCAGCGATCTCTCGTCGCTGTGCTGTCCCGCTCACGAACGCATCGTCCATCTTCTGCTTCAACGCGGCGCCAATGTCAATATGCAGAATTCCCGCGGGCAGACCCCGCTGCATCTGGCTGCGCAACAGGGACATCTGGGGATCGTCCGGTTGCTCCTGATGGCGCCGCAGCCGGTCGATGTCAATGCGCGGGATCGCTTCGGGTCGACACCGCTGCATTTGGCGAGTGAGAATGGGCATGTTGAGGTCGTGAGTTTGTTGGTCGCGCATCATGCCCGGGTGGACGTACGGTCGACGAGGGAATAATAATGAAAGAGTGTTTGGAGTTTTCTGGATATACTGTGACGATTGTATAGAGACAGGATAGAATCTTCGGGACAGGGGAAAAGCAGAAATTGATAGAGAGAAAGAGATTAAGTTATGGACAAGCGAGGGGATCTAGGACTCGGAAAAAACCGTTTATGTGGTTCAGTTCGGCGAACCATGGTGTTTGTGTACCGTGATGTATATATATGCATATGATGGGATGGGAGGTATCCCTTTCGCGATTTGACTTCTCGCCAACTTCTACTAATTGGACTTTGTTACCGCAGATCTTACTAGTCTGAGGGTATACTAGAGTTGAGAGAAATGTACTATCAATTAAGTAACCTATGTAACGAGATTAAAAACAGTAAGAGAACGCTATAGATATAGAACAACGACTGAAAGTGTCCAGCAGGAGGCGGTGTCGGCAACAAAATCGGCGATGCGGCAAAATATAGCGGATGATTGCCGCCATCAGATAAATAGGGTTTTTGCTTATTATTCTGCCAGCAGATTTAAATTCATATGAAAATCATATGAATGAATAGCGCCGAGAACAATAGAAACAATGGTTGAATAGGGCCTAGAATAATCAAGGAAAGTAAGGCCTTTTGCTCCGTTGCGGGGTGGGCGGAGCTCGGAACAATGGTCCGCCAACTGGTGGCCTAAGGCAGCCAACTGGTCTGGGGCTACGAAATGGCAAGCATGAGGCTGCCAACTGGCCAAGCTGCCCATATTGTTGACAATATTTAAATAGATTATCGTTCTAGTATATAGATTTTTATATTATATAGATTCTTCGAAACTTCTTTTTTAAATAAAATAGTCTTATTAGAATATAAAATAAAATTGTGATTTTAAAAAATTTCAACTAAAAAAATAATTATTTATTTTTTTATAAAAAATTTAACTAGTAGTAGCTGTAAAGTCTTTTTTTTAAATATATTTAATATTTAATAAACTTTAAATTTTATATTTTATAATTTTAATGAAGTATTATTGTAAAACAATAAGAATAATACTTATAGCAGACTTATTCTATTAATAAAAAAGAAATAATTTCAGCCTGAAAAGACTTAAAAAATTGATATACAAAAGTACAGCTAATAGTATAAAAGAGAATATATATATATCAAAAGAAAAGGGTTCTAAATTATTTTTAAAAGACCAGCGGTAACACCTGCAGTTAAAGAACTTAATTAAAAAAACCCCATTTACCCGATGGCGGCAATCATCCGCTGTGGGCAAAACCAACCAAGCACGCGGGCGCGAGTCAACCCTTTTCCCCCCATCTGGAAATTCATCACACAAATCAAGGCCACGGGGTATCGAAAACAACAAATCCACAACACATTCTATTCTCATTCAATCATGCAAGAGGATCCCAATCCAAATCAATTTACCCATTGATTGAAAGGTTATCTCAATCTCACCCACCCACCAGCCCCCCTAGACACACACGTCAAGATGTATACATTACGCCACCATCCCATACCACAGATGCACGCGTCCCGGCAGCTGCCGTTTCAACGAGCCCGATGATCGCGCCAACCACCAGGCCAAGCGGGGATCGGCCTCCGCCAGGGAGCCCCAGAGCGAGACGTGGTCCGCGCGAATCCAATCCCAAAACTGTTCCGCCACCCCATTGAGCCAGTCGGACGGGCCGACGCCGAAGAGCGCCAGCTCGGAGATGCTCTCCTCCGGCGTGATCTCGCCGCTCGTGTGAGGCCACGGGAACGAGGCGTGCGGGAAGACGATCGCGAGATTTCGAATGGCTGCCTCCTCCGCAGCGGACTCTTCGCTGGGCGACTGGTCGAAGTACGCGACGAACTGTCGGGTGTCAAGTTGGTTCAGGAGCGCGTCGATGCTGACCTCGATCCCGCTGCCGGGGTGGAGGTGGCGTTGGAGTGCGGCGCGTAGGGCCCGTTGGGAAGGGAAGTCCGCCCGCGAGGTCACCACCTGGATGGTCCGGGGGCTGCGGAGGACTGTCCACGGGGTGGTATCGGGGAAGATGGAGCTGCTTAGGGAGTTGGCAGTCCCAAGTAGGATGCTGGTGTCGGGCCCCAGCTCTTGCGCCAGTGCCTGTAATGTGGTGGTGGAGGAGGTAGTTGGGGGCTGGGCTTCGGGACGCAGGAGAATCGTGCGCAACGGCTGCAGGACCCGTGCCAGATGGACGGCGGCATGATGGGGATCAAGGGCATAGGTGCGAGAATAAGCGGACGAGGTGCCCAGCGCTGCCACGATGGGGATTGAGCCAGCTCGGACGGCGGACTCGATCGCCTCGGGCGCGATTGCGGTGACGAGCCCCTGCGCGCTGAGGGGTTGGTTCTCCGGATCGGCGACAGCGGTAAAGACCCCCCCTGAGATGGGTCGTGTCTCTACATCCTGGCGCTCGAGCAGCGCGCTGACTTGGTAGTTGGCGGTGCGAATCCGACGCAGCTTGTTCGACTGATCGGCCGGCGGTGGGCCGAAGACGTTGACTTCGGCCGGCGATCTGGATGTCAGCTCCAGATCGTAATCAAGCTCGCCATGGACCACAATGGGAAACAGTCCAACCCGTCGCAGAAAGGCTAACGACTCGGCCAGTCGCTCGAGTTGGACGCGGGCGGCGGAGGACTGGGACGGGGGGAGCGCTTCTCGACCAAGTGCAATGACCGCCAGAGGGTCCCCCTGGGACGGGTGGAACTGGTGGAGATATTGCTGGATCTGCTGCGGAGAGTCAATTTGTCGCAGCAATTTAACAGCCACAGCACGGTTGATTTGCGCCCGGGATTTGGGGGCGCTGGACAGCCGGGCAGAGAGCATGTCTCCACAGTGGGCGGCGGCGGTTAAGCGGGGACGTCGCAGCAATTGAGCCTACATGGTCACGTTAGATGATGCCACGAGGCAGAGCAGGCAGGCCCTTGGGAACTGACGATCCGGCACATGGGAAATTATATGAGTTGATTCTCGTTGGTCACTACAGCCTTCCTACAGTGTACTATGTACAGCCTTGCAGAAAAGCAGAAAAACAGATTATAGCATATTGCCGGGATGGAATCTGCAGGGTAAAGGTTGGCACTTCGCAGGATCGCCGGCTCCACCAAGACTAACGCTACTGCAAGATCAGCCGCTAAAACGAAGAAAAAAGGCTTTCTTTTGGCCCCCAACCTGACAGTGCAGATATTAGATGTTAGAAGAAATCAATAGTGTTCCTGTAGAATCCTGAGAGTCTGACTGCATGAAGGAACGTGGCGGCCATGCGCTCACGCGGTCTCGTCCAGCCCTAATCGCATCCGTCTTCGCCCCCCCCGCCCTCCACGTGGGACTGGCTAGCACCTCAGACCACGCGAAAGCGCTGACTGCGCTACCAGATGAACTTGTTGTGTGCTCAGCCGCATCTCTGCACTCTAGTACACTAATTCCGGAGGCATATTTGGTGTCAAAGAGCAAGCATCGCCCCATTGTTTTGACACGCGCGATCGTCGTTCCTCCCTTCCGTCCCATCCTCAAACGTTGCTTGTGCGTTGAGTTGAGCTTTGTCGTGGTGATAATCCTCTATTTCACACTCTTTCGTTGCCTCATTGCCTTTGCAACACTCCTCCCTCGATCTCAAAAACGTCTTGTAATTTTATCATATACCCACCGATTTTAATACTATTTTCACTATGGGAGACTACGGCAACCAGATCTCAATTGAGGCCCTTCCGGCTCAGCTGCCCCTCGAGCTCAAGGCAAGTGCTTCTTTGTTCCCCCTCTTGACTGACGGGATTCTTGTAGATGGCGACCGGACGGCCGGACCTGCGGTCGCCGGCGAGGTGAACCAGGCACGCATTGCCCTGGAGCTGAAGCCGCACGTCTCGGCCGCGGCTCTAGCAGATTTCTGCACGCGCCAGGACGTGACACTCCTCAGCGTGTTGAACGTCGCGTGGGCAATGGTGCTGGCTGCCTATGCCGACACCGATGTCGTCCACGTGCTGTCGGTCCGCTATGTGGCAGAGGTCCCTCATGTGGGCCTGTCCGAAATCACGATCGACGACGGGTCGACCGTGCGACAGAACTTGGTCGAGGTGGAGCAGCGCTTACAGGCCAGTGTCGCGGTCCCTTCGGCGACGACTGTGACCGACCTGCAGATCTGGACCTCCGTAGACGACCATCCAGCTTTCAACAGCGTGGTGCTGTTGTCCGACGGCGAGAGCCCGGAGCGGGTGGAAGTCCAGGCTGGAAACTATATTGCCCTTCAAGCCCGGGCTGCTCAGGATCAAGTAGCGATCCATCTGCAGGCTCCTATCCACCTGCTCCCTGAGGCGCAAGCTAAGCACTGCGCGGCAACCCTGAGCCACGTCCTTGGGGAAATCATCCAAAACCCCGATCGGCCTCTCCACGCCATCAACTTGATGAGTCCGTCGGGACTGGAACAAATCTCTCACTGGAACCAGACAGCTCCCGCCGTGGTCTCGCGCTGTCTGCATCATACTGTGGACGAGACGGTGCAGGCCCGACTTGACGCCCTCGCCATTGATGGAGCCGATGGCCAGATGACCTATGCAGAATTGCAATGGTACTCGGATCGGCTGGCGCAGCACCTGATGCAGCGAGGAGTCGGTCCTGAAACGGCGGTTCCTTTGTTCTTTGAGAAGTCAAAGTGGGCCATTGTGACCATGGTCGCCGTGGTCAAGGCTGGGGGTGTCATCGTGAACCTGGACGCCAAACAGCCACGGCCACGGTTGCGGGGCTTGCTCACCCAGCTTCAAGCGCAGTTTGTCATCAGCTCCGTACAGCACGCCACGCTTTGGGTGGACGAGTATCATGTGGTGGTCGTCTCGGAAGACGCCCTCGCTCAACTGCCCACAAGCGAGGCTGTCGTCCCTCATCTCGAAGTCTCACCGCAGAATGCTCTCTACATCATTTTTACCTCGGGTAGTACCGGCACACCTAAAGGTGTCGTCGTGGAGCATGAGTCGTTCCTCACGGCGGCGGCACAACATGTACAGGCTGGCCACATTCTTCCTTCCAGTCGAGTACTGCAAATGACACCGTATACCTTCGATGTGAGTATGCTCGAGATTTTCACCACACTCACCACCGGCGCCTGCATCTGCTTCTGCAGCGATGAAGAAGCGGCGCGTGGAATCACGCATGTTATCAACTTCCTGCAAATTACCTGGACCTTCATGACGCCTTCGCTGGTGCGCTTGATTGACCCAAAGGCGGTGCCCACCCTCAAGACCCTTGCCTTGGGTGGAGAAGGGCTCGGGCGCATTGATGTAACGACCTGGGCGGATAAGCTGCAATTGATCAACGGTAGGCCTGCCTCCAAGTCCAACTATCATTCTCTGAGCCGTGACTGATGTTTATCTATAGGCTACGGACCAAGTGAGTGCTCCGTTGCGGCGACCATCAACACTCCGCTGTCATTGACTTCGGATCCCGCCAATATTGGCGTTGGATATGGCGCGAACTGCTGGGTCGTGCATCCTGAAGACCATCATCGACTTGTCCCCATCGGTACTGTCGGCGAACTGGTCATTCAAGGACCCATCGTCGCGCGCGGATACCTGCATGAGCCCGCCAAAACGGCGGCCGTCTTCCTGGATGAGACCCCAGACTTTGCTGCGCTGCTCCCTCAACAGCCTCACGCCTTCCGTCTCTACAAGACTGGTGATCTGGTGCGCCAGAACAGTGACGGTACCTTCAACTTCCTCGGACGCAAGGATCGCCAAGTGAAACTGAACGGACAACGCTTGGAGCTGGGCGAGATCGAGCAGCGACTGTCAGCTGATGCGTTGGTGCGGCATGCCCTCGTCATGCTGCCTAAGGAGGGTCCCTGCCAGAACCGTCTGGTGGCGGTCCTTTCGCTGCATGCTTTCTCCCACGATAGTCCCCGGGACGCGAACGTTCACGTTCTGTCAGCCGAGGAGTCACGAAGTGCGCGCGCCAGTTTGACGAAAATCACTCAACGGTTGGCGACACAGCTTCCCGTGTATATGATTCCCACCTTCTGGGTGGTGCTGGCAGCTCTTCCCTTCACGACTTCAGGCAAGGTCCATGGTGTGGCTATGACCAAGTGGCTTGCTGAGATGTCCGAAGAGACCTATAACGAGATTGCCGGCGTGAGTGACGAGGGGTCTGAAACCGCACTCTCGAGTGAGGTAGAACTCCAGCTCCAGCAGATTTGGGCCGATGAACTGGGGATCCCTGTCGCTGACCTCAAGGCCAACCGCTCCTTCATTGCTCTTGGAGGTGACTCGTTGACGGCGATGAAGGTCGTGGCGCGGTGTCGCAAGCAGCAGCTTGTGGTTTCGGTTCCCGATGTTTTACGCGCCGCGAATATCGTCGAGCTCGCCGCACGCACCACCAAGGGATCTGACACCTCGTCTGGGGATGATAACGGGGATGGCAGCGATAAGATGACCCGTTCGACTCCGGCCGGCCGCGTTGCCGCTCTCAATGATTCTCTCCTGACAGTGGCAGGACTCACTAGCCGCGACGAGGTGGAAGATGTCTATGGCTGCTCACCCATGCAGGACGGTATCCTGCTCAGTCAGGTCAAATTCCCTGGCACGTACCACGTCCGTCGCGTGTTGCGGGTGCAGTCCACTGGCGACGTGCCCCCTGTTGTCGATCGTCTGCAAAGCGCATGGCAGACGGTGGTGAATCGGCATCCAATGCTGCGGACAATCTTCGTCGACGCAGAGGGTCAGTTCCGGCAGATTGTCCTCAAGGAGGTCTCGGCCTCTGTTCAGGTATGCGAGCGCCTCGACTTGACGGAGGAACAGGCGGTGGTTCAGTTCCTGCAGGATCAGCCCAAGCCCAGCTACGCCCCCTCGGATCCCCAGCATCACTTTACTATCTGCCACGCGGCCGGTGATGCGATCTTCCTCAAGTTCGAAATCAGTCACGCTTTGGTTGACGGTGCATCCAATGAAGTGATCCTCCGCGAACTGTCCCAGGCCTTTGATGTGCAGGACTTCCCGAGCCCCGCTGCGCTCTTCGGTGACTACATTGAGTATATCTCGGAGGCGCAAGCTGGAAGCAACAATTCGCTAAGCCACTGGACTACCTACCTGGCTGGGGTGCAGCCGACGATCGTACCCATGTATCCTCCTACTGAGCAACAACATGCCCCCAAGCAAATTCGCTCGGTGCCAGTGCCTTTTACGGAGAACCAAGTGGCTGCACTGGTTCGACTTTCCGAGGCCAACGGGATCACGCTGGCTAACGTCCTGCAGACGGCCTGGGCCCTGACTCTCCGGGCCTACACTGGACTCGACGATGTTTGCTTCGGCTACATTGCCTCGGGGCGTGATGTGCCCGTTGCTGGCATTGAACACGCGGTGGGCGCCTTTATCAACATGCTCGTCTGCCGGGTGCGGTTGGACCAGTATCCCAGCGTGCTTGAAGCAATTGCTGGGATGCAGGCCGAATACTTCGATGCGTTGCCTCATCAGCACACTTCGCTGGCACAAATCCAGAACGCACTAAAACTGTCGGGCATGCCTCTGTTCAACAGCATTGTCTCGGTGCAGAAGGAGGTGACCGACCAGTCATTGGGCGAGTGGTCGCTCTCGTTCCAGCCCCTCACTGAGGATGATCCTACTGATGTGCGTTGTGCTCCTCTCCCTATCTCTGCTTAAGTGGCTAACCTTTGTCTGTCTGTTAGTTCGACCTGACTGTCCATATCTACATGGGCAAAGAGCACGCGCATCTGTCTATCGGCTACTGGTCCTCGCTGTTGTCTGAAGGCGACGCCGCGAACCTGGCCAACACGTTCAGTGGCGCCATTGATCGTGTCCTCACGCAAGCAAACTCCTCAGCCTCTGACCTCGATCTCTTCACCGAGCGGGATCGCGAGCAGATCTTCGCCTGGAACCAGGACGAGCCCGTCGCAGCGCCTGGAGTTGTCCATGAATACATCTACGCTCGGGCGCGCCAGCAGCCCGACGCGCCCGCGGTGTGTGCCTGGGATGGCGAGTACACCTACGCCGAGTTGGACCAGCTCTCAGAGAAGTTGGCCCATTACCTGGCTCAGCTTGGAGCGGGTCCTGAAGTTTTGATTCCCCACTGTTTCGACAAGTCCAGGCTCGCTCCAGTGACGATGCTGGCAATCATGAAATCCGGCAGTGCCGGTGTGGGACTGAGTGCGGCGCATCCCCGATCTCGGATCCAGGACATTGTGGAGAACTGTGCCGCCCGCATTGCGGTTGTTGCTCCTCAGCATGCCTCCGTTGTGGAGGGTTTGGTCGAGCATATTGTCGTCCTGGATGAGGCCTTCTTCACCTCACTACCTGCCCCTACAGCTGGAGCGCAACTCCCCCAAGCGAAGCCGTGCAACCCCGCTTTCGTCTCCTTCACTTCGGGCAGTACCGGAAAGCCCAAGGGTATCGTTCTCGAGCACGCCTCCCTCATCACCAGTATTCTCGCTCACGGTGTCGAGTGGGAGGTTAACCAGTCGGCGCGGGTGCTGCAGTTCTCTGCCTACGCGTTCGATGCAAGTGTCTCGGACACCTTCACGACCCTGGTCGGTGGCGGTACGATCTGTATTCCCCAGGAGAAGGAGCGAGTGGATGATCTCGCCGGCGCCATAAATCGGCTGGGAGTGACCTGGGCCTTCTTGACTCCCCGTGTGCTGGGTCTGCTGTCCCCCGAGACAGTCCCTACCCTGAAGACTGTGGTTCTCGGAGGTGAGGCTATCTCGCGCGAGGACATCTCTCCCTGGACGGAGGCGCTTTCCATCCGGATTGTCTACGGGCCCACAGAATGTACCATCTATAGTATGGGCACTGAACCACTTACAGCCGACAGCGACCCGGCGAATCTGGGCCATGCCGTTGGCACGCGGCTGTGGGTCACTGACCCGGAAAACACTGATCGACTTCTCCCGGTTGGCTGTATCGGCGAGCTTATCATCGAAGGACCCTTGGTGACGCGTGGCTATCTTAACGAGCCTGAGAAGACCAAGGCCGCATACCTGGAAGACCCTGTCTGGTTGCCCAAGAGAGCCTCCGGAGAGCCACGGCGGTTCTACAAGACCAGCGATCTGGTGCGCTACTACCCCAACGGAGACCTGCGGTTCATTGGCCGGAAGGACACGCAAATCAAGGTCCGTGGACAGCGTGTTGAACTGGGAGAGATTGAGCATGCTATCCTGGGAACCATGCCTGGTGCGGTGCATATCACTGTCGACGCGGTGGTGCTGCCGCCTCAGACTCTTGTCGCTTTCCTGTATCTGGGAGGGCATAGTGACGAGCTGATGATGCCTTTGACTCCAGAGGTAACTGCTCAGCTGCGCGCACTGGAGAAGTCTCTGTCTGAAACTCTCCCCAGCTACATGGTTCCTAGTCTCTTCATCCCCATCTCTCACATTCCCATGACGATTTCCGGCAAGGTCGATCGCATTGTTCTTCGTCGTGCTGTGTCGACCCTGTCTTCCGCCCAGCTGGAAATGTATGCGCTGGCTGAGCAGATTAAGGCTGCCCCTCAGACTCTCCAGGAGATCCAGCTGCAGAAACTATGGGCTAAGGTTCTACGCAAAGAGGCTAGCACCGTGGGACGTGACGACAGCTTCTTCCGTCTTGGGGGTAACTCCATTGGCGCCATGAAGTTGGTGGCTGCTGCTCGCGGCGCTGGCCTCGTGCTCAGCGTGGCTGATATCTTCCGTCATCCTCAATTGTCGGACATGGCGGCGCAGCTTGTTTTGCCTGGAGGCGACTCCTTGTCCTCCTCGTCCTCCTCTCCGTCCTCGTCGACTTCTCCACTTGCCTACACGCCCTTCTCCTTGTTGCCTGCAGCTAGCACAACGGAGAGAGAGAACCTGCTCGCGGAGGCTGCTCAGCAGTGCTCGATCTCCCTCGAAGCCATTGAAGACGTCTACCCAGCCACACCCCTGCAGGAAGGAGTCTTCCTTATGTCGACTACTCACAAGGGCGCGTATGTTGCCCCAACCGCCTTCCGCATCCCTGCAGACTTCGATCTTGCCCGCTTCAAGGCCGCTTGGCAGACCCTCGTCGACGCTCACTTCATTTTGCGGACCCGGCTGGTCACTGTCGAATCCACTTCTTACCAGGTGGTTTTGACCAAAGAGGCCTCGCAGTTGCAGTGGGAGCATGCCGCATCCTGCGACGGATATCTTGCCCGCACTCAGTCCCTCTCTGTGGTCGCAGGAGGTCCGTTGACGCGGTATGCCCTTATTCCCGCCGAGGACCGTTCCACCATCTTCGTGTGGACCGCCCATCATGCCGTGTTCGATGGCTGGTCAGTGGGTCTGCTTTTCGAACAATTGGTTCAGTTGTACAAGCAGCAAGATGGTCTTGCCCTTGCTACACCGACAGGACCTTCGTACGCCGAATTTGTGCAGTTCCTCGAGACGAAGACTGATGAGGATGCCTCGCGCAAGTTCTGGGCGTCGTTGGTGCCCTCCGAGCCTCCTGCTATCTTCCCTCGTCTGCCCGCAGCCACTTATCAACCCACCGCGAAGGCGACCTGCTTTCGCACCATTTCCAATATCGTGCAGCCGGAGCAGTCGAACCTCACCCTGGCCATCCTTCTACGGGCAGCGTGGGCTATTGTGCTCGCTCGGTATACCGACGCGGAAGACATTTTGTATGGGCTCACTCTGTCCGGACGAGATGTGCCCGTCGCAGGCGTGGAGCGTATGGTCGGCCCTACCATCACCACTGTTCCGATGAATGTTCACCTGGACGGGGAGATGTTGGTGGAGACCTTCCTGCAGCAGCAGCAGGATCAAAATATCGAGATGATGCGCCACCAGCACGCCGGATTGCAGTCCATCCGTCGCATCAGTCCCGCCGCCAGTGCCGCCTCTGATTTCACGAATCTGTTCGTGGTGCAGCCTCACACGGACGAGGCGCCAAGTCTCGAACTGATGGTCCAGGTCACCACTGATATGAGCCGGTTTGACCCCTATGCCTTGGTTCTTGAGTGCAACATGAAGGCCAACGGCCAGGTGCTTTTGGAAGCACGATTTGATGATGTTGTTGTGTCCTCGGATCAAACCCAGCGCCTGTTGGGTCACTTTGAGCATGTCCTCCAGCAGCTTACCACGCCATCGACCCCGGACCGTCGGCTGAAGCAGGTCGATATGTTCAGTCCAGAGGATGAGCGACAGATTTGGGCCTGGAATGCAGAGCCGGCCAAGCCGGAGAACGTGTGTGTCCACCAATTGGTCACCGCTGCAGCCAAGCGCCACCCGAACCACGTTGCCGTCGACGCATGGGATGGATCGCTGACCTACTGGCAACTTGACGATATGTCCTCACGCTTGGCTGATTGGCTCATTTCTTCTCACGCCCTCAAGCCCGAGTCTTTGGTTCTCCTGTGCTTTGACAAGTCCCTATGGACCATCGTCACCATGATGGCCGTGGTAAAATGTGGTGGGGGATGCGTGATGCTTAACCCTGATCACCCGATATCGCGTCTGGAGGGCGTGATCGTCGACACGGGCTCCTCCGTCGTCCTTGCTGCACCGGACCGTGCCTCGCTCTTTGCATCCGTCGGGGGCGTAACGGTGGTCGCCATTGATGAATCCTTGATCCGCAATCTGCCTGTGCTCGACGAGACAGTGCGACCACTGCCTGTTATCAAGCCCACCAACCCGGTCTTTGTCATTTTCACATCCGGCAGTACGGGCAAGCCCAAGGGAATCGTGGTCCAGCACAACGGAGTTTGCACGGTTGCGATCCAGCATGGAGAGGGACTGGGCTTCACTGGCAAAAATCTGCGCGTCCTTCAGTTCGCTTCGTTCAGCTTTGACGTCAGCATGGGAGAAGTGTTCATCACACTCATGAAAGGGGGTACCTTGTGTATCCCCACTGAGGACGACCGCATCAACAACCTGGCGGCCACTATCAACCTCATGAACATTACCTGGACCTTTATGGCACCCACCGTGGCTGCCCTACTTGATCCCCGCGAAGTGCCTAATCTGCAGACCCTCGTTCTGGGTGGTGAAGCCGTTTCGCAGAGTCTGGTCGACCAGTGGTCCAACCAGCTGCAATTGATCGACTCGTATGGCCCGGCCGAATGCACCATCTGGGCCTCTCATGCCAACGCCAGCGCCACCGTCTCCCCCACCAACATCGGTCGCGGAGTCGGCTGTCGTTACTGGGTGGCCGATATTCATGACCACAATCGTCTCGCCCCAGTCGGTTGCGTCGGAGAGTTGCTCATTGAAGGCCCGAACGTCTCCCGTGGCTATCTGAACGAGGCCGAGAAAACCCGGGACGCCTTCATCGAGAGCCCGGCCTGGATGCAGGGTAGGGCGGATGCCGAATACACCTATAAATTCTACAAGACCGGTGATCTGGTGCGGTACATGGCGGATGGCTCCCTAGAGATCGCCGGCCGCAAGGACAGCCAGGTTAAATTCCACGGCCAGCGCATCGAACTGGGTGAGATCGAGTTTCATCTGCGCGCGAGCGCAGCTGTCGAAGCCGGCATGGTCACGCTGCCCAAGACAGGTCTCTGCAAGGGTAAGCTAGTGGCCATAGTGGCGTTGACGAGCCTTCAACCCGAAGCGGCAGAGGGAGATCGTGTGCAGCTCGTTTTGCCGCAGATTTTGCAGTCCCCCAAGACACAATCACAAATCCAGGAGATCCAGGAAGAGCTTGGTGCGGTGCTGCCCCCGTATATGGTACCGACTATCTGGGTCGTCCTTGACTCGATTCCCTTGACGGCTTCGCGTAAGATTAACCGCGTGCCAATTTCGCGCTGGGTCATGGATATGTCGGAGGAGACATACCACCAGGTGGTGGATGCCACGTCTTCGGAGTGTGATGAGCAGAATCTGCCGTCTACGGCGCTGGAGAAGCAGCTGGCGCAGGTCTGGAGCCATGTTCTCAATCTTCCGCTCGAGGCTATTGGTCTCAATCGTTCGTTCTTGAGCCTGGGTGGAGATTCCATTACTGCCATGCAGGTCGTCGCCCGTTGTCGCTCCCAGGGGATTGATTTGAGCGTGCAGGATATCCTGCAGCCCAAGTCGCTGGCGGGTGTCGTTGCTCGGGCTCATGCGGCTAAGCCTCGCAGTGCTGTCACGCGAGAAGAAGTCTATGATGTTCCTTTTGAACTGTCTCCAATCCAGCAGCTCTACTTCCAGGATGTCGTGCCGGAGAATGAGCGTCAACTGAATCATTACAACCAGAGTGTTCTGCTGCGTGTGACCCATCCAATTTCATCCTCGCAACTCTCTGCTGCCATTGAAAAGATCGTGAACTGTCATGCGATGCTGCGGGCTCGGTTCCACCAGGATGTCGACGGAAAATGGACGCAGCTGGTGCGGCGTCCAGCCTCGGGGCTGGCACCTGTGTCTGTTCATGATGTGACAAGCCGTGAAGCTTTGTTGGAAGTGATCAATGCCTCTCAGCGCCAGATCGATATCGAGCAGGGTCCAGTCTTTGTGGTCGATTATTTCACGCTCCCGGACTCGCAGGGTCAGCTACTCTCACTCATTGCTCACCACCTTGTCGTTGATGCCGTGTCCTGGCATATCCTGGTCGGTCAGCTCGAGCAGCTGCTGCTGGCACCTAGCGAAGAACTTCAACTTCAATGTCAAATGCCCTTCCAGAGCTGGGCGCACGCTCAGCGGGAGTACGCGGAGGGTTTGACAGCTCCGTCCTTGGGTCCTCCTGCCTTGCCCACCCCCAACCTTTCGTACTGGGGACTGAAGCAACTGCCCAGCTGGAAAGATGGCAAGGAATTGACCTTCAACCTGGATACGTCGACCACGGCGCTTCTATTGGCGGAGGCCAATACATCCCTCCGCACTCAGCCTGTCGACTTGCTTGTGGCGGCGCTCCAGCAGTCGTTCACCGAGTCTTTCCCTGATCGTGCGATGCCTGCAATTTTCAGCGAGGGTCATGGGCGTGAACCGTGGGACACTTCCATCGATCTATCAGAAACTGTCGGTTGGTTCACAGTCTTCCAGCCAATGCATCGCCATGTCCGTCAGCACGAGAGCGTGAAAGAAACCGTCAAGCGCACCAAGGATGCTCGTCGCGCCTGCCCCGACCACGGCTTTGCGTACTTCACTGGTCGCCAGTTTCGACCAGCTGCGTCTGAACGCCACGATATGGAGATTTGCTTCAACTACCTGGGTCAAGCGCAACAAACTGAGCGCGCGGATGCTTTCCTGCAAGAAGAGCCGCTGCGGGCGGGCGAGGTGATCGACAACATCGGTGAAGCTATGGGCCGTCTAGCAGTCTTCGACGTCTCTGCGGCAGTTTCTCACGGTCGGCTCCTCGTCTCGTTCTGTTTCCCTCCCGATCTGCAGCACCAGGATCGCATTCGTCACTGGGTGGAGAGCTGCCAGAAGGTGCTTCAGACTGTTGTGACTGAGCTGGCTCATAGTGCGTTGGAATACTCGCTCAGCGATTTCCCGCTCATGGCCATTGATTACGCGGATCTCTCAACCCTAACCAGCACCGTCCTGCCCGGCATTGGTCTGGCTTCCGACGCCGTTGAGGATCTCTATCCTTGCTCATCCATCCAAGAGGGTATCCTCATCAGTCAAGCCCGTCAGCCTGGCACGTACGAGGTACGCCAGCTGTTCGAGGTCGTCCCCCGCTCCGATGTGGGCCCTGTCAACGTCTCGCATTTGTTGCAGGCCTGGCAACGCATTGTGGACCGCCATACCATTCTCCGCACCATCTTCATTGAGTCCCTGACTGGTGCCGGAGTCTACGACCAGCTCGTGCTGCGTAGCCATCAGCCCAATGTGTTGCAGCTTGTATACGAGGGCGTTGAGGGTGAGAGCATCGCTGCGTTCATCCAGCGTCAACCTACTCCAGACTACCGTCAACCTGTGCCCGCGCATCGCTTGACGATCTGTGAAGCTCCCAACAAGACCGTCTACTGCCAGCTCGAACTGAGCCACGCGCTGATTGATGGTACCTCCATGGCCCTCTTGGTCCGGGATTTGATTTCTGGGTACGAGAACACTCTCCCCGCAACACCGGCCCCACTCTATCACGACTACATGGCCTATCTTGCCTCTCGCCCTGAGGATGAAGCCCTGGCTTACTGGACCGACCGACTCGCCGAGGTCCAGCCCTGTCACTTTCCTGACCTGCAGCCAGCCCTGTCGAGCAAGGAGGCCTTTGCGTCGCACACAGTCCACATCGACCGCGAAGGCCGACTTAGGCGGTTCTGTGAGGCCCAGAATGTCACTGTGAGCAATCTGTTCCAGGCCGCTTGGGGTCTTGTGCTTCGCGCCTACACCGGTCATTCCGAGGTCTGCTTTGGATACATGGCCTCGGGCCGAGACATTCCCATGGCGGGCATTGAGGAAGCAGTAGGACCATTTATCAACCTGCTCGTCTGTAAACTGGACGTCAGCGATGCAGTGGAGGTGCAGGAACTGCTGCAGACCGTGCAGTCCGATTATTTGCGGGGTCTGCCTCACCAGCAGACCTCCTTGGCTAAGATCCAGCACGCCCTTGGCAACCATGACGTGGCTCTCTTCAACACCATCTTGTCGCTTCAACGCGAGCCCCCGCAGGGTCCGCCGCCTCAACTGGAATTCCGCATCGTCGACCAGGTTGACCCGACCGAGGTAAGTAATCCACTCACTCTTTTCCCGACAGTTTGCCGGCGGCTGACTATAAGCTAGTATGACGTGGATCTCAACATCACCACCGGGGACGCAGCGGGCGTGGAGGTTCACCTAACCTACCGCACGACGATGCTCAGTCAGATCCAGGCCAACAATCTCCTCCAAACCTTCACTAATATGTTGCTGGCCTTGACTGTCAGTGCCGATCGGCGTCTGTCCAACTTGAAGATCGCCTCCACCGAAGAGAACCAACCCTCCCGGGCAATTGAGCAGGCTTGGTCGACGGCGGTTGAGGCATCAGTGCCTGAGCTTATTGCTATACATGCGAGCAAGCAGCCCACCGCTGTCGCTGTTCAGTCTGCAGATAGCCAAGTCACACTGACGTATCAGGATCTGGATCGCCGAGCGTGTGCCTTGGCTGGTCATCTGAGCACCCTGGGTGTTGGCCTCGGCGATGTGGTCCCCCTCGTTTTTGATCGCGACCCCTGGGCACTGGTGGCCATGCTAGCCGTGCTGCAGGCGGGCGCAATTGCCCTTCCTCTCGATCCTTCGGTCAGCAATATCCAGAGCTTGCGTGACAGATTGTCGGCTGCGAAATGCAGTGTGATGCTGTGCGGAGCTGAGAAACATGCGGCATCGTTTGACAACGAATCTGCCTTCACTCCAGTGATCGTTGATTCCACCACAATTCAAAAGTGGGATGAATCTGCTAAATCGGACAAGCTTGATTACCCTTCGGCCGCAGCAATCGCCGTCGCTGTGAAGGACGGGACAGACTGGGCCTTACGCACCCATTGCGCCATCAGCACCGTCGCCACACAGCTGGGCCCTGTCGCTGGATTAGGGCCAGCTGCTCGTGTGTTGCAGTTCAACCCGGTTACCTCGCCCTTCTACCTCGTTGAAACGCTGTATTCCCTGGTGGCAGGTAGTACAGTTGTCATTCCGGCGGCCGGTGATGTTAGTTTCACTGAGGCTGTCCGCGACTCCCAGGCGAACTGGGCCCTAACCACTCCAACGGTGGCTGCCCTCACCAACCAAACTCAAGTCCCGTCCCTCAAGACCTTGATGGTGGCCGGCGAAGAATTCGGACCTGCTTTGTGCGCCCAGTGGAATGGAGTCAACTTGATCCACCCTTATGGACTGATTGATTCTTCCGTCTGGCTTTCTTTCATGGGTGCTGCAGCTGGCAGCGACACCCTTGTACATCTTGCAGCACCGGCTGTAGCACGGATATGGGTTGCGAATCCGTTCAACGGTGCCGCGGCGCTCACTCCTGTGGACTGTGTTGGACCTGTACTCGTCGATGGGCCGGTCGTTCCTCAGTGCCATCTCCTCAGTAAAGCCCAAGAGACATCTTCCACTGACAAGGTGACATGGTCGCCGGGAACGACTGTCTATCACACTGGCCAAGTGGGGCGACGGACCTTCGAGCAAGAGAATATCTCTCTCGTGTCGCCTCTCCAGGCCATCAATGGCCACGCCACTAATCTAACGGCTCTTGAGCAGCAGGTTCAAGTGGGACTGCCAGTGACGCAGCATGCGGTGTTATCGATCATGCGTCACAGATCGACTGACAAGGTGGCGGTGTTCGTCATTGACCGCAGCAGCACACCACAGACCTCAAGTACGTCACCTACGCTGCTGCTGCCTGTCTCGGAATCTCAGCAGCAATTATTCTCAGAGTTGAAGTCTTCGCTTCGGGCAGCTCAGCTCCCGGAGCCTCTGCTTCCATCTCTCTTCTTCCCTCTCAATAATCTCCCCTTGACCCATGACTATAAGGTGGATCGTGAGGCACTGCAGCAGCTGACGAGCACCCTGTCTGAGCTCGAGCTGCAGGCTTATTCTCTCGCCCCCGTCGCCGCAAAGGCTGGTAGACTGACAGCTAACGAGCAGCTCTTAGCTGACCTCTGGGTGGAGGTCCTGCATCTGCCCGATCCTCAGGGTGTCGGTTTCTCAGACAGCTTTTTCCGATTGGGAGGAGACTCTATTGGCGCGATGCGTCTCGTGGCCAACGCCCGTAACCAAGGCTTGTCGCTGACAATGAACACTATTTTCCAACAGCCCACTCTCTCTGGCATGGCCAAGGAGCTGCGGGTGTTGGCACCCCACGAGGACCGCCCCCTCGAGCCATTTTCTCTGCTACCCACCGACGTGGATCTTGGGTCCCTTGTTGCTGAAGCTGCCCAGCAGTGCCAGATCGAGAATTCGAAGTCCATCGAGGATATCTATCCCTGCACGCCGCTGCAGGAGGGTCTCATGGTTCTCACCAGCCAGGATCATACTGCATATGTGGTTCAGGAGGTGTTCTCACTGCCAGGGAACGTCGATCTGTCCCGGTTCCAAGCAGCCTGGGAGGCCGTTGTCGCACGCAGCACAATCCTGCGTACGCGCATCATCAACACCCCCGAGGGCGCTTTCCAGGTTCTGCTCCCAGAGAAGGGCATTGCCTGGGAATCCGGAGCTGACCTGTCCGCCTATTTGGCCCGGGATTCGGCCCAGTCCATGAGCTACGGTCAGCCTCTGGCACGCTATGCCATCCTGACTACCCCCGAGCAGAATCGTTACTTCGTCTGGACGGCGCATCACGCCGTGTACGATGGCCTCACTCTGCCCGTCCTGGCCAAGCAGGTCTCCGCCGAATACAATCAGGAGATCGCCCTTCCCGAAGTGCCCTATAATCGCTTCATTGATTACATTCAGGGCATCGGCTCGGCCGCTGCCACCGAATTCTGGACCACGCAATGTGCTACCCCGGCTACAACGTTCCCTGTACTGCCGGGACGTAGTTTCCAACCCACTCCAGACCAGACCCAGCACCACTCGGTCTCGCTCACCCGCTCCCCCTCCGACATCACTTTGCCGACTGTTCTGCGTGCTGCCTGGGCGGTTGTCTTGGCCCAGCGCACGGAGTCAGAGCATGTTAGCTTCGGCCTCACGCTTTCTGGACGGAACGCGGCGTTGGCCGGTATCAATCAGGTCTTGGGTCCTACCATTGCCACCGTCCCTGTACATATCCAGGTGCGCGAGAATCAGTCGCCGCGGCACTTCCTCAGAGCCGTGCAACAGCAAGCCATTGACATGATCCCATTCGAGCACACGGGTCTCCAGAACATTCGTCGTATGGGCGATGCCGCGCGTGAGGCCGTGGACTTCCAGAATCTCCTGCTCATCCAACCCGCCAGTGCGCCCATGGACGGCTCTGACTTCTTGGGCTTAACGCCTGTTGCGGTGGTGAAGGAGCAATCCGATCCCTATCCCTTGACGGTGGAATGTAACCTGCTCGAGAGCGGCGTTGAGATCAAAGCTCAGTTCGATAGTCGCCTGATCTCCCCGGCCGAGATGCGCTCTATCCTTCAGCAGTATGCTCGCACGATTGAGCGGTTCAATGCAGTGCCTGAAGCAACCGATGATGAGAATGATGAAGAGGAGGAGGAGAAGACTCTGGATTCGATGGGTACACTCAGCCCGGAGGATCTCCAGCAGACCTTGGCCTGGAATGCCAATCGCCCTCCGTACGTCAACTCGTGCGTGCACGAACAATTCGAGGAACAAGTCCGTTTGCGTCCGGATGCACTGGCGGTTTCCTCGTTCGATGTCGAACTTACTTACCGCCAGCTCAATGTCCTTGTGGACTCTTTGGCTACCGAGTTGCTGGCGCGAGGAGTTCGGTCGGAGATGAAGATTCCACTGTGTTTCACCAAGTGCTCGTGGACTATTGTGGCCATGTTCGCTGTCATGAAGGTCGGTGGCGTGAGCTGCATGTTCAATCCGGAACATCCCAGCAGTCGCATCCAGTTGCTCCTGGACGATCTCGATGCCCGACTTGTTCTTTGTGATCCTGAGTCGGCCAAGATGCTGTCCACCCTGCTGCCATCTGAAGGGGTTCTCCCCGTGGATGGCGACTATCTGCGATCGCTTCCCCCGGCCACACCACTTTTACTCGAGGGTCTCGTTCATCCCACCAACGCTGTTTTTGTGGTGTATACCTCTGGTAGTACCGGTAAGCCCAAGGGCAGCATCCTGGAACACCGCTCGTTAGTTACTGGATTACTCGCCCACGCGGGTGCCATGGGCATCGGTCCAGGCACTCGCACCTTCCAATTCGCCGCCTACACCTTCGACGTGTGCTTTGAAGAGATCATCGGATCTTTGATGCTGGGAGCCTGTATCTGCGTGCCCAGCGAGGCGGAACGCATGAACGCCCTAGCAGATGCCATGGCTAAGTACCGGGTGACGTGGACGGAGCTGACTCCCACTGTTGCCAGTCTCCTTCTGCCCAGCAGCATTCCCACCCTGCAGACGCTGGCCCTCAGTGGTGAATCTCTCACGCAAGATGTTATCCAGCGCTGGGCTGGGGCGGTGCAGATTATCAATACCTATGGACCCAGTGAATGCTGTGTTTCGACCACCTGCAACCTTCACACCGCTACCCTCCGCGATCCCAGCAACATTGGCCGGGGATTGGGCTGCACGACTTGGATCGTCGATCCAGACAACGTTGACCGTCTGGTGCCCATCGGTGCCGTTGGAGAACTCCTCGTCGAGGGTCCCATTGTCGCCCGGGGCTATCTGAACGAGCCGGAGAAGACCGCCGCTGCCTTTATCTCTGCTCCGGTCTGGTGGCCTACAGACTCCTACCCCAGTGAGCGAATCTACCGCACCGGTGACCTGGTCAAGTACAACCCGGACGGCACGATCAAGTTCATCGGCCGCAAGGACACTCAGGTCAAGCTTCACGGTCAACGCATTGAATTGGGCGAGATCGAGCATCGTTTGCGCGCCGCCTGTGCCGACGGTGATGAGAGCAGCTCCCATCAGGTGGCCGTCGAGGTTTTGACGCCCAAGTCCCGCGGAGGAATCAAGATCCTCACGGCATTTATCTGTGAGAGTGACGCCGTGGCGGACGACAACGAGGAGGGCCACTTCTTACTACCTCTGGAAGATCAAGAAGGAGGACGCCCGCAACGATTTTGCGACCTCCAGGCTCGTCTCCTTGCTGTTTTACCACGTCATATGGTGCCCCAGCTATTCATTCCCGTTTCGCACATGCCATTGTCTCCTTCGCGCAAGCTCGAACGAAAAAGGCTGCGCGCTGTCGGAAATGGCCTCACGCCCGAGCAGCTGGCCTCGTATGCCCTAACTCAGGTGGCCAAAACGGCTCCCTCCACTGCCACCGAGACCGCTCTGGCGGACATCTGGGCCCGTGTCCTAGGCACCAGCCGCTCTACCATCGGTGTCCAAGACAATTTCTTCCACTTGGGAGGTGACTCCATTGCCGCCATGAAGGCTGTTGCTGCCGCGACGAAAGCTGGTCTCCCACCGCTCAGCGTGGCCGACATCACTCAGGCTCCGACCCTAAGTGCGATGGCCGCATCGATGGATCATGCGTCTGTTCTTGCGCAGCAGGCCGGGGGCGAGACAGCAGTGCCCGTAGGCCCTGCTCCATTCAGTCTACTCTCCCCTGAAGAGGTTTCAGCTGTCCTCGTTCAAGCTTCTACGCAATGTGCGGTAGCCATCGACGCCATCGAAGATATCTACCCTTGCACTCCATCGCAAGAGGCTCTCATGGCGCTCACCGCGCGTGATGACACTGCCTATGTTTCGCGCTCGGTCTATCGCTTGCCTTTGCACTTGGACCTCGAAAACTACCGACAGGCGTGGGAGCTGCTTGCCCAGCGCCAGGCCATCCTCCGCACACGCATCGTCTACTCCGAGGATGCGCGATCGTTCCAAGTTGTGGTCCGCGAGCCTTTGGTGTGGCAGGAGCTGTCTGCTGACTCTGTGACGGCGTATGTTGCGCGCGATCGGCGTCTCTCCATGCGCCACGGCCAGCCCCTGATGCGATTTGCTCTCCTAGCTGCCGAGACAGGTGACGATTCTCGGGCTGTGCTTGTGCATACCGCGCATCATGCTGTATATGATGGGTGGAGTGAAGCTAGCATGTTTGCTGAAGCCGAAGCCATCTACCGTCATGGTTTGTCTTCACTGCCTCCAGTCACCCCGTACAATCAATTCATTCACTACCTGACTACTACCGTTGATCCCGCTGCTTGTGACGCCTTCTGGCGCACACAGCTGGACGGCGATCTCCCTGCCCTTTTCCCTGCCCCTTTCCCCGCTGTAACTGCTTCAGCTGCCACTCCCCGTCCCAACCGCTCCCTGTCCTATCGAATTGCCCTTACCCGCACTTCTTCTACCCCCTATTCCACTCCTACAATTCTCAAAGCCGCCTGGTCTCTATTACTGGCTCGGTACACCACCTCCAATGACGTCCTATTCGGTCATGTCTTGTCAGGCCGGACCATCCCGCTCCCGGGCGTGGCAGAGATGATGGGCCCGACCATTGCTACCGTGCCAGTGCGTGTGCAGCTCTCGGGGGAAGAGAGCATTGATGCGTTCCTCGGTCGCCTCAGAGACCAGGCTCAGGCGATGGCTCCCTTCGAACAGATTGGACTCCAACATCTTCGTCGTCTCGCCGCCGAGCCGATCGACCTTGGCCATCTTTTCTTCATCCAGCCCAGTCTGGACTCCTCTGACGAGGAATTGGGCCTGGAGCCTATCACAGCGACTGACTACGAGTTTGAGACATACCCCTTGATCGTAGAGTGCCAACTGGGCGCCACCAGCGATGATGACAAGCTTATTGTGGAGGTGAAATACGACGACACTCGCATTGCCCCGACGCAAATGAGCTGGCTGCTCCAGCACTTTGACACGCTGATTCACCAGCTCTGCGAGCGGCCATCGTCCACGCCCTTGTCGGATCTCACGCTGACGGGGTCAGCCAATCTGCTTCAACTGCAGCAGTGGATGGGATCTCCTGTGGCCCCATTGGCAACAACACTCCATGAGCAATTCAGAGCCCAGGCGCAGGCCCATCCGGACCGGGTTGCCATTGCCGGCTGGGATGGCTCTCTTACCTACCGTGAATTAGAAGAGTTTTCTACGCGGTTCGCTCGGGATCTCGTCGCTTTGAACCTTCGCCCTGGTACCCCCGTGGGTGTAGTGTTTGATAAATCCTGCTGGGCCGTTGTCGCCCTCCTGACTGTGCTGACCGCAGGGGGTGCCTGTATTCACCTGGACCCTCAGCATCCCATGACACGATTGACTGAGATCGTTGCCGATACCGGGCTGCAGCACATTCTCGCTGCGCCCCAGTATGCTTCTCACCCAGTCCAGCGGCTACCTGTGCGCCATGTGCTCGTGGTGGATGCCACCACTGCACGTAAACGGCCATCCCGTTCCCTCGCGGCCGCCAGTCTTCCTCGTCTGCCGGTTGTCGAACCCACCTCCCCTGCCTATATGACCTTCACCTCGGGCAGTACCGGCAAGCCAAAGACTGTGGTCATTGACCATCGCGCCATTTGCACCAGTATCGACGCCTTCACCTCGGCGCTGCACCTCAAGGCGGAGTCCCGGGTCCTGCAGTTTGCCGCGTACACCTTCGACATCAGCTATGCTGAAATCTTCGCCCCGCTCCTGTTGGGAGGAACGGTCTGCGTGCTCTCTAATGCGGACCGCCTCAATGACCTGGCCGGTGCCATGAAGCGACTGGGTGTCAACTGGGCCTGTCTTACGCCCACGGTTGCCAGTCTCGTGCAACCAGCCGAGGTGGCCTCGTTGCTACAGACCCTTGTCCTAAGTGGCGAAGCGCCCACCGAGGAGAATCTGCGCACCTGGGCCGGTCAAGTTCCCAACCTAATCAACGCCTATGGTCCTAGTGAAGCGTCTGTTTGGTGCGCTGCTGGTCCCTTCACGCGTCCGGATGATAGCTGCACTGATATCGGCGTGCCGGTTGGGTGTCGCCTGTGGATTGCTGAGCCGGACAACTTGCACCGTCTCACCCCCTTGGGCTGTGTTGGTGAGCTGCTCGTCGAGGGTCCCATCATGGCTCAAGGCTATCGCAACAATGCCCCCGCAACTCGCGCCGCATTCCTTAGCGATCTGGCCTGGATGAAGGAGGTGCAGCCCCAGCCTCTCCCTGGCTTCAATCGGGTCTACCGCACCGGTGATCTGGCGCGTTACCTGCCCGGCGGTCGCATCCAGTATCTCGGTCGCGCCGACACTCAGATTAAGGTCTACGGGCGGCGCATCGAGCCCCGTGAGATTGAGCATCACATCCAGACTCACCTGCCTGACACTCACACCATGGTCGACAGTGTGACTCTGGTCAACCGTGGCAACCAGAAGGTGCTGGTGGCCTACCTTTTCCAGGAATCCGGTCCCATGCCGGACATGGAGCTGGCCGTGCTGGCACGACCTCTCACGCCGGCGCTGCAGGAGACGCTTCTCAGCCTGCAGACGGCCCTGCGTGCCCGGTTACCACACTACATGCTGCCCGCCCTCTTTGTTCCTCTGCAGCTTTTGCCCACCAGTGCCGCTGGCAAGACTGACCGCAAGCTGCTCGGCCGGGTAGTGAACGCCATGTCTGAGTCTCAACGCGAGAGCTATGCCCTACAATCCCTTTCCCGTGCGGCGAAACGCCCGCTCACCTCAGCCTTGGAGCGCCAGCTGGCCGATCTCTGGGCCACCGCGCTCGGAATTGATGTCACCTCCATCGGGGCAGACGATAGCTTCTTCGGTCTCGGCGGTGACTCCATGGTGGCCATGAAGGTGGCCAGTCTCGCCCGTGCCGCTCAGCTGAGCTTGACCGTTGCTGATCTCTTCAACCATCCCGTTCTCGCCAGTCTCGCGGCTCAACTCTCCACTGCCGCTTTCCAGGATGTCTCGAGCGCGACCCAGGATGGAGCACGAACCCTGACAACCAACCCTGTGCTGGACCTGGCCTTGGCAGCGGCCCTCGCTCCTCAAGTGGGCGTTGATGTTAGCAGCATCGCCGCGATTGCGACGACCACCGCCTTCCAGGACTATGCTCTGGTCGGTCATTTGACCGAGTCTCGCTGGATGCTGAACTTCTTCTACTTCGACGGTTCTTCGCCCTCTCTCGGCAGCTCAAATACCGAGCTGGAGCAACGTCTCCGCCGGGGCTGTGCCGTTCTGGTCCAGCAGTTCGACATTCTCCGAACCGTCTTCGCGTCGCATGCGGGCCGGTTCTGGCAGGTCGTGCTACACCAGCTGACGCCTCAATTCCGCGTCGATACCACCTCCGACCTCGATACCTTCACCAAGCAGCTGTACGCCGATGGTCTCAAGGCCGAGAACTTCCGGCTCTCCGAGCCTTTCTTGCAATTCGTGCTGGCTGTGCAACCGGATGGAAAGCACCGCCTGTTGATGCGCCTGTCCCACGCGCAATATGATGGTGTCTCGTTGCCAACACTCTGGGATGCCCTGCAGCGCGCCTGCCAGGGCGAGAATGCTTCTTTCCTCCCCCCTGCACCTTCATTCCAGGAATTCCTCCACACCGGTTCGACGTCCTTGGCTGCCACATTGGCGCACTGGAAGAGTTTCCTGTCTGGTGCTCCGGAAACCCGCTTCGTCACCTACAGCAAGCCCGCACTCCACGACGCATCCCGTGCGCAAGTCCTGCAAGTCACCCGCCGCTGCATCCCTCTGGTGTCCATGCACGACAAGAGCATCACTCCGGCGACGGTGATCAAAGCCGCCTGGGCCGTGCTCCTCGCCCGTCTCGCCGGCTCGACCGATGTCACCTTCGGCCACACCGTCGCCAACCGCAGCAACAGCCCACTCCCCGGAGTCGACAAGGTGGTCGGCCCGTGTCTGAACGTGGTTCCCATCCGCGCGCGTCTGCACGCGGGTCAAACCGTCCTCGAGCTTCTGCAGGCGCTACAGCAGCAGCAGATCGCCAACATGCCCCACGAGTCCATGGGCTTCCGGGAAATCATCCGGGACGCCACCCACTGGCCGCACTGGACGCATTTCAGCAGTGTGGTCCAGCATCAGAACCTGGATGCGGTGGACGACGCCGAACTGGTGCTGCTGGGTGATGCGACGGATTTCACTGCCTACACCCCTGGTTTCCTGGGCGCCGAGCTTGATCTAGTGGATGTTTCCATCCTCTCGACCCCGGTGCCTGCTGCCCGCGGCACGACTGTCGTCAACCTGGATCTGGTCACCTCCACGGCGGTAATGGCCCCCTTCGCGGCGGAGTTGTTGCTCGATCAGCTGGTCAGTTTGCTGCGGAGCTGGGCGGCGTTGTCGGTTGAGAAGATGCTGGCCTATGCGGCGGGCGATGAGAGTCTGCCGGCTTTGCTTCCTCTCGCGGCGTATACTGACGATGTGGTGGAGGTCGAGGTCCCATCAACATCGGATGACTTGACCAAGATTCGGATCGTCCAAGAAGCCGTGCAGCGGGCGTGGCGGTCGGTGTTGCCTGGGGTTGACGCGGTGGATGATTTGACTCATGATCTTGACTTCTTCGCTGCGGGCGGTGATCTGGTGCAGATGGCACAATTACTGACTCTGCTGCAGGCGGATGATGAGCTGAAGGCTGCGCGCGGAGTGAGGTTGGAGGCTTTGGTCAAGTGTTCGTCGAGAGAGAAGATGGTGCGGCTGTTGCTGTAGTTGACCCTCAGTCCTTGATTTTTGTCTGTAATTGTTTTGCTTCTAGATTTTGACTCTGTCTGTGTCCTTGTTGTCTTTCTTTCTTGCTGTACTCGTCGCTGTGTGATTTGTGCTTGGTTTAGTGTCGTGGCGATGTATCTACAAGTTGAATTACATGTGTTTTCCATCCCCAAATCCTGATATAATTGGTTTTTTTTTTCAAGATTCATTAGACCTCGATGTTTCTATATTATGCTCCGTCGGGTGATTGAAATATAAGTCACATTGTCAATACGATTTGCAGTGAATATGAGTCTGTTTCAATGCCTGATTCAAATGCCTTGTCTCGCGTCTCCGGCGGCTACATCAAAAGATGATCTATATTCCTTCTTTAGGCAGCCTGGCGCCGAATATTATAGTGGTGTAGAAATGATTCAACTTATAAGTGGCATATAAGAAAAAGAGAAAGAAAGAACTAGGTCCACTCTTTTTCCATCATCATTTGCAGATAGAAAGGAAATCGATTGAAGCAGATTTAAAAAGGTCCAATAGTATTAAGAAAGTCAACCGAAAAGAAGCTAGCTACACTAGCTAGGTCATGACATCCTCCTGCTGCTGCTGCTGCTGCTGCTGCTGCTGCTCTCGGTCCTCCTTGCTACCAAATCTTAACAGATCCAAAACCTCCGCGACACCCCCGACCCCCTCGGCGTCCAGAATCCCCTCCCCTACATCTTCCAATCTCAGCAGATTGCTGTCCCTCTTTTCCTGCAGTCCTTCCATGCGTTGCTCATACGCCCGTTTCTTCTCCCGCAACCCCTCGACCACCTTGGCCACCACCCCAGCATCCCACAGCCCCTCCCGCCTGGGCAACCGCGGATTCTTCTGCAACAGCAACAATGCATCATCCACCGTGCGAGGGTCATGACTCTTCAGACAGATGAAATAGAGCCCTGCGATCAGCTGGGTGGAAAGGGTGAAACTGAAGGTGCCACCCGCACCCGCACCTGCTCCCTCTCCACCCCCATGCCCATGGGCTGTCCCTCTATCGGACGGCGGAACAGGACTGCCGGGACTGTTGATATCGTTGTCGCTGCTACTGCTGCTGCTGCTGCTGCTATCGTCCCGCTCCGGCGTAACGGATTCCCTGGCCCGCCCGCCCAGAAGGAGGATGATATTGTCCAGCGCGGCGCGAAGCGTGGCGTCCATTATCGTGTCTGTACATCTTGGGGATGACGGTGATGGCTGCTCGTGATCATCATTATCATCATCATCATCAGAGGTGATCATGTTCTCGCGGATGATGCTGTGGGACAGTTGGGCCTGAATCCGGTACAGGAGGAGGCGTTGGTGTTGCTGCTGGGGTTTTGTCGGGCACTGCATGTGCATGTGCGTGTGCGGGATAGGTCTTGCGGGTGAGGACGGGGGTGCAGGATGCACAGTGAGGGAGGCGATAAACGTCTGGAAGTCTGCGTCCAGCGCGCGACGTTCGTGGAGTATGGACGGCGGGAGGCTGTCGAGGGGGTGGTTCTTATGCGAGACGTGGAGCATGAGGTGGCGGAGAAGCCGGGCTTGGAGGGTTATTAGGGTTCTTTCTTTGGCATTGAGGTCGGTTGGCGAAGGCGCGGTGGGGTCGCTGTCGCTTGGGAGTTCGGGCAATGATGGCCCTGATGGCGCTGATGGCGGTGAGGCCGGTCGGGGTCGCAGACTTTTTTCGGCTTCCCATTCAGCCGGACCCAGCAGCAGCACCAACGGCCGGGTATCGTTGTACATGCTCGCTTGGATATCTAATCTCGCCAGCAGGGCATTCAAATGCGGCAGGAGATCATCCGCGACCGGGTGTCCGTCGCGGCACCCCGGGCGCGCAGCGTCGTCGTCGCGATACCTTCGGAACAGCAGCAGGGTCTGATCGAGATGGCGGATGGCGGCCTCGGCCTCGCCGATTAATGTTTCAAAGGCGTAGAACAGCACCCCGCAGATCAGGGCAACCTCGTAGGAGGCGTGCGGAGAAGAGAGATGGCGGCAGACTTGACGGTGGGACTTGGCGATCAACTCCAGACTCCGCGGGGAGGGTTGTCGCTGTGTTTCCGGCGATTGTGGGCCACGGTCGCAATGATCGCGATAGAGCGCACTCAGCGTCACCAGCGCATGGCGGATGATGGGTTGCGTGTGGCAGCGCTGCAGGACCAGCTGCGTCCACAGGGTTGGGTCGGTTAAGCTGGAGAGACTCTGGGCGGCTTCGCAGCAGTAGAAATGCAGCAGTTCCCGATCGGCTTGACTGCCGGGGACGCGGAAGGGGATGTTGTAGGCTGTGATGATTGGCAATCGCCGCGGGTGGAGGGAGCTCGGTTGCTGGTCACGGTCCGGCGGCGGCTGCTGCTGCTGGTGGAGCACGGCGTATCCCTCGCAGGTGCGGTTGGCACGACGACATCGCTGACACGTCGGCTTGGCTTCGTCACATTTCACACGACGGGCTCTGGATTTACGGTGAGTAAGGTAGGTCGCAACTCAGGGTTAAGAGGGGAGAAGCACTTGCAGGTCAGGCAGCCAGACCGACCTTTGGGGGTGCTTCGACGCGAGGTCTTCATGGTGGTCTAGACGGCAAGTTGATAGTGGGAGGAAGTGAGGCTGAACGGAACCTACAATAAGGAAAACTAAACTAAAATATACGAGGAGCGGGGGGGAAGGTTGGGTTAAAAGACCGGTATTGGTATGGTATTGGTATTGGTATGGTATTATATGGTTTGCCGTGGTTATTTATTCCAGGCGATTTGTCATCTGAACACGGTAACTAAAGTACTTGTTAATATATTTATGTACTATCGTCACCACCGATAGGCAACCACGACTTTTATTTCATTCCATTCCATCATCTTCATTGCTATGTTTCTAGCAGAATAATTAGTTAGTGTGGAGAGATGCACGAACTGATTTCCCAACTCAGTGCCTTCGGGACTGCCAGTCAAGTTACTCTGCCTCTCATTCAGCACCCTTTGAACCATACTACCACGCTGCTGGCCGCGCAGTATGGGACTACCTTCAATGTCGAGGTGACAATCGCCGACCAGACCTTCCAGCTGCTGGTCGACACGGGCAGCAGTGATACTTATGTGGTTCGAAATGACTTTGTCTGCATCAATGAAACGACCAACCAAGAGATCAGCCAGGCTGCCTGTGGTTATGCGCCTCACGCCTACAACGAATCGAGCACGTATCGGCTAATCCCCAACCAGACCTTTGGCGTACAATATGGCAACGGCGTTGCCTGCGGAGTAATGGCCCGCGAGGACATCACCCTAGCAGGCATTACCGTTCCCGGACAAGCGATCGGAATTGCTGATCGCAGCCATCCGATGGGCGATGGGATCAACAGTGGCGTGCTGGGTCTGGCCTACCCATCCCTTACCTCTGCCCATCCGCGCAATCACACCGACAACACCACCTTCTGGTTCGACCGGGAGACCTATCGTCCGGTGTTCAACACCATGTACGAGCAAGGGTTGGTCGCGGAGCCCTACTTCAGCATTGCCCTCGCCCACAGCCCGCACAACCTCACCGCGGCCCCCGCGACGACCTTTGGGGGCTATCTCACCTTAGGCGATTATCCCCCAGTCGCCCACAATGCGACCTTTGCCAATGTCCCCGTGGAGATCCTCAATAACATCCCTCCCAGTTTCACTTCGGGCAAGCGCACCCGCTCCTACTGGGCGTTCACTGTGTCCGCCGTGACCTGGGGCAAACCTGAAGCCGATGATTTCCCGCTCATCACAAACGCCACCGCCTTCCAGGCCTTGACCGATACCGGCAATGACTTCAGTTTTCTGCCCATGGCGGTGGTGGATTCGATCAATGCTTTGTTTGATCCACCCGCTGTCTATTCGGAGGCGCTGGGGTACTATCTCGTCGACTGTGATGCCCAGGCGCCCGTGTTTGGGGTCGAGATTGGGGGACAGACCTTCTATCATGAGGGACGAGACCTGATCTATAGGACCGAAGAAGGGTACTGTGTGTCGAGCTTAGCTGCCTCTGAAGATGTGGCCTACGAGGGGATTGTGTTGAATATCCTCGGAGTGCCGTTCTTGAAAAATGTGGTCTCCGCATATGATTTTGGAAAGAATGAGCTACGCTTCGCGCAGAGATTAGATTAAAAAAGATTGTGGATTCTTGTTCATTTGGGAGTAGATTTGGGAGGGGGGAAGGGGGGGTTGTGTTTGACGCCTCGGGCTTGGGATGGAGGCTGTCTACACGGTCAAGGTAGATATGGCTGGGAGTTTCAGAGGATCTGACAGTGTGTTCTCATACATTGGGAACTGGATTCGATGATAGTGAGCGTTTTTTATGATCAGAATCCAACTATATACACATAAAGCGTTGTCTGAACATTCGGGACTTTCTCATGCAAAATGTCACGGTGACATGGAACCCACCCACAATTTAGAGTGCGTCGAAGGCGAATTAACTACAATTCTCTTGTAGCTTTGGTGGCTATGCTAAAGAAGCTTGTCAAATTCCGCGAAAAGCTTTGTCCTTCATGAGTGTACCTTTTCCGGAGCGTATGCATTGTACTTGAGCAAAGGAAGAGGCAATCGATTCTTAAAATCGTCGCCTGCTGAGTTTTTTTAGTTCTTTCTGATCAACATACAAACCCAGATTTAATAGCTCTGAGTCCTCGACAAAGGAGAAGGGGACGGGATAGAAAAGTGGTCAAGCCCCTCATATATGGAATCGATCCCCCATAATTCACGATCTTGATCGTTTGCTGAGCCTGATTGGACTAGCGCAAAACTGGCGCGAGGCACATTCGAAGTACCTTCTGGCACTGATTCCCAGAATCTGTGATACGGTGCTGTGGGATAAAGTTGGCCAAAGTGTGGCTGCAGAACAGCCGATTACGTAGTTGGTCACCATGCTCCGAATTATGTATTATAAAAGACGTGTTACTTCAGATACTTAGAATTGAACTAATTCTCTGCTATAGTTGATTACTTGTTTATTTGATACATAATCACTGGAGCTCATCAATATTATTGGAGACCTCGTTGAGCAGCTCCTGCGAATTTGCGGTGGCCGCCAGATGCAGACTGAATATCTTTATCCAGAACGCTTTTTCTCATCATCGAACTACTTTAGATAAGATCCGCTATATAGCGGATGACCTTTGTACACTGGTGTACCCGGCCAGCGAATAGCTCACCTGCCTTGAACCCACTGCAAGAGTGCCTGATAATCCATACAAAACAGAACATAGGATAGCAGCAGAAGGTAGGTCTTGTATCCTGATAAGTCGCCCTGCCTAATAATTCTACCTTGTTCGGCAACCGTGTCTAGGTCAAGCCGTCAGAGTATTCTTCATCTCTCAGATACCTTAGATCGAAGTAGCTAATGTAACCAGAGCTTTTAGAAGAGAGCAAAACTTGGAAAGGACCACTAAAATGTTCTATTACGGTGTCCAGTGTTTGAAGCAAAGTCGGGTCAACGCTGAACGGCATATAGGTCTGCGCCTCGCTATCAGGTTCTGAATATGCAAAATCAGCTCCCCACCACGGCGCCGCTTCTTGATTTAAATTGCCTTATTATTGTTTAAAGTGGGTTACGTAGCTTACAAGCCGCCAATAAATTAATATTCGGCCTGTGTAATAACGAAATAATCGGCTCATGCAGGGGTCAGCTCCTCGCCTCCTTGTCGAAACGCTGACTATTTCCAAATGTCACCTCGTCTTGGCTACTAAGATCGCTATCATAAGACCTCTTAGGCATTTTCAAGCGTACTCGAGGGTGCATTTTGGCAACCTTGATATTGCTCCGGAGGGTCTTTTCCTTGTTCCTTCCATCATCTGGATAACAATAGAATAACTAGCTCCTGCAGATGCTCCAAGGTGCTACGACCACAGCTTCAGCAACGCCAAGTTATAGTAATGTATTCTTAATTAAGATGAAAGAGACACATTCACAGCCACACTAAATATAGTCGGAGTACCACTAATTTCGCCAGTCTGCGTAAATCTGCCAGCTCAACCCAACACCAGTGGCGGTCGGACAAGAAGCCCATGGTAGACATTCTAAGATTCCGACCCTGGGAGTGCACCAGATAACTTATTTAGTGGACGGATTCGGCATATCAGAAGTATGTGGCCATTTTCGGAACAGATCAGCCAGATGATCGATCGGGGCAGTCATCAGTCCAATTGCGCTTTCGAAAGGAGGCTTGTCAGGAGCAGAAGGGTGGGCGCGCGACGGCACCAACATCTTGGTCCTGCCGAAGGACTTGGCCAGTTTTTCGCTCTCCTCAGTCGTCAGGGCGTCTTCCAGTTTTGGAAGATCCTGGCTCTCCTCTTCCTCAATGTGCTCCGATAGATCTTGCATCAAAGCTTTGACCGTAGGCTCGAACTCAGGGTCCGAAGGTTTCATGTTCTGAAATTTCTTCAGCTGTTCCTTGACCTATAATGCATTATTAGCTAGTTGCGAGAGGATATGATCAAAGCGTGATTCACTGATTGGTGCTCTTTTCGATCCTTGTCTGCCATATCAAGGCCACCAGGAAGTTTCTTCTCGAATTGGGGGCACACAACCAGCTCCTCGCCGAGCGAGTGGCGTGCCAGTACCCAGGTAAACTGGTTTTGCCATTGGATCTGCGACAGATCTGGGATCACATAATCTCGGATCTTATTAAATTTATTCTTTTTTATTATTGATTATTAAAATCTTTTTATATATATTGATATCTATAATATTAACAGCTTTTGATATTCTTATTTAACAAATTATATATTTAGTGAAGTAAAGAGATTTTTAAAATATTCTAACCAGCTTAATAACTAAAATTCATTTTAATTAATTTATTAAATTAACTAATTATATATTTTTACTATGTAAGCAGCGTGGCTATGTTTTATACTATAATATTAAATAAAATCTGTTTAATATTAACATTTTAAAAACTATTTTTAAGTTTAAAAAATTAGGTTAATTAATTAACATAATAAAATATAATCTATATAACTATTTTAGATCTAAAAATCCAAATATCTGGAAATTACTTATAAATAATTATATTATTTCTAACAAATCTGTTTTTTTTAATACTAAAAAATAAGTTTTACAAGCTTTTATAGTATAAGCTATAAAAAATAATAATTTATCTATTAAAATAAATATTTAATAGAATATTACTAAGACTAGAAAAAGAAATTATATCTTTTGATATATATAATATATAAAGTATAATATAATTCTAATTATAATATAATAAGATTGTTTAGATATACTTTACTACTTAATTTGTTTAATTAATTATTTTAAAAAGTATACTATACTTTCGAAAAGGCTTTTATAAAATCTAGTATAAAACAGCTAACAGTCAGATTAGATTAGATTAATTAGAATTTGTATATCTAACCGCTAGGTTATAATTAGATTAAAAGAAGCTTTTTAGGTAAGATAGAAATAAGTTAAAAAAGAAATATTATTCTTACTATGTATATTACTAAAAAAATAAAAAAAGACCTAGTAATATTAATAAAATTTAGTTCTTTATAAATTAGTTACTATTATAATATAAAATATAGAAAAAAAAATATAATGATAGTTTTATTTCGATTATATGATTTAACTATAATATATTATACTACTGAAATTATATATTTATTTTTAATTAGACTATTGAAAATAATTTTATAATTTTATAATCTTTAATCTATTTTTTATTTTTTTAATTCTAGTTTAAATAGTTTCTTAATTTTTGCTTTTTATTTAAAAGAGCTAAATTGTATATTATAAATTAAATTCTTCAATAAAATCTGTAATTTTTATACTTATCAGAAACTATTTAATTAAAATGTAAGGGCTGAGCCAGCCCTTCCAACCTTCGCGGTATCCGCGAAGGGAAATCTATATATATCAGGCCTTAGGGATTAGTTATATAATAACTAAGCAAGCAGACCGCGATCTTTTATCTAAAAATAATATTTTGCAAATTAAAAAAATTAGTAATATTATCTTAAAATAATATATTAGTACTTTTAGACTTATAAAAATTATTTATTTATTATATTATTTTATTTTTTTAGTTTTTATAATCTTATTATTTAATATCCTATAAAATAACCCGGTAAATAATAACTAAATATAATATATAAAGCTAAATTAGAGATAATTACTTTAATCTAATTATAAAAAACTATATATTAACTATAGAAAACAAATTATTTATACTAGAAAAAAAAATATAAATTTTAATCTAAGATTTTTATAAATATTTATATTTACTTAAATAGATTACTAAATTATAGAAACAGCTAGAAATTAGTATTATAAAAAAATATTTATATAAAGATTTAAAAAATTCTTATTCTAGTACCATAGAGATTAAAAAAACCAGTATATATATTAATCTATCTATAGATAAAAAATAATATAGTATTTATAATTATATTATCTATTATATATTTATTACCAGACAAAAATTAACTACAGAAATTAATAATTAAAATAAAAATCAGAAAATATATATTATAATAATCTATCTAGATTATATCTTAAATAATTTATAAAAAAATAAAACAGCCGGATTTTATTATAAAAAAAATAAATTAGTTTTTATAAGTTTTTTAAAATATAGCTAGAAGATCCTATAAATAAATAATAAAAAATCTAATTAAAAATATTTAAAACTAAGTTTTGTAAAAAAAAAAATAGAATTTATCTATTTCTAATAATAAAAAAAAATAAAAATTAAATTAAATTATAAAATATAAAATATTAATATTATATAATTATATTTATTTTTTATATCTTTTTTTTTTATAGTTTAAAAAAAGATCTATAAATAATAGATTTTTTTTATAACAGAATAAGATCTTATTATACTATTTATAAAACTATATTTAGTATTAAACTAGTAATATAAATAAATAAAAAATATAATATTTTATAAATAGACTTTAAAAAAAGTTGCAGGCCTATTATTCTTGTAAATAAGATTTAAAAACTAAAAATCTAAATTAATAGTTTTATAAAAAAAATTTAGAAGTTTAAATAATCTTTTTTAATACTATAAGCGCCTGTAGAGGTTTCTAAATTAAAAGTTTATTATAATTATAAAAAAGTAGATTATTAGATAAAAAATTACTAGTTGATTAAACTACTCGCAAGATAATTAATAAATAGAATTATAATATCTGTTTAAATTAAGTTAGAATTATAATCTATTCTAGTTTAAAACTAAAAAAATAACCGATTTTTTATAAAGAAAAAGAATATCTTATAGAAATTAAGATTATTATAAACAGCAGTATAGAAATAAATCTAATATTTATAATATTTATTAAATAAATAAAATAGCTAACTGTTTTAATAAAAATACTTATAGAAAAAATTAAATAAAAAAAATATAATTCAAAAAAACTATAATATTTACAGTATATCTAAAAAATATCTAGAAATACTATAAAAATTAAAAAAATCTTATAATTATAATACTAAAAATAAATAAAATAATTCTAAAAATATTTTAAATAAAATAATAAAAGCTTATTATAAAATTTAATAAATATTAGTTTTAGTTCTATAAATATTATATACTAAGAATACTATAGATTAAAATAAAAAAAATTATTATAAAAAATCTTACAAAAATAAATTTGTACTTAATAATAATATAAAAAATATATAAAATAGTTATTAACTAAAAAATATTAATATAATACTGTAAATATAAAATAGTATTTATAGAAAAAAAAAACTATAAACTTATTTATATAAAAATTAAAAATTAATCTAAAAATTAATTTCTATAAGAATTTTCGGCTAAAACCGAAGTAAGTATATAAAATATTATCTGTAAAAAAAAAAATTTTATAAAACTATTTATAAAAAATACTTATAAAAAAATAAATCTAGTATTTTAAATTATTAATAAATATACCGGTTCTATTTATAGATAAGAAAAATAAAAGTTTATAAATATATATAAATTATTATAAATTAAATAAATAAATAATAAAAAATATTTATTTATTATTATAAATTAATAAATATATAAACTAGTTTATAAAAATCTTCTAATTTATATAGTTAAACCTATACAAAATCTATTATAAAATTAGAATTATAAGAAAATATAAATAAAAAATAGTATTTTAAATAAAGTATAAACTATTTAAATATTTAATTATACTATTTAAGCTAACTAATATATTTATAAAATTTTAAAGTTTTATAAACTTTTTATTTATAAAATATCTGAATAACTTTATAATTATTTATTTAAATAATATTATAATATACTTGCGGAACTTAAAAATATATAAAGTATAGATTTATAAAGTACTAAAAATATTATAAAATATAGAATTATATATAAAACTTAGTAAGTATTATTTTATAATAATAAAAATTAATTTTTTAAAGTTTCTAATCAGCTATAAAAATATTTATATAAAATTAAGATATATTATAACTATTTATAATTAGTTTAAACCGCAGAATATAAAAAATATACTAAAATTTATAAAATTTATAAATTAGTATAAATATTTTATTAAAAAATACTTATAAATTATAGTACTAATTATAGACTTTATTAAAATATCTTATAAAAAAAATAAAAAAAAATTAAATATAATTTTTTAATATTAAAAGCCCGCGAGAGCTTTTAAAAACTAAAAAATATATTTATAAAAAATATAATTATAGTATATTTTAAAAAAAAAAAATTTATAAATTAAAATAAATATCTTAACTTTTATAATTAGTAGAATACTATTATAAAAAAACTAAAAAAACCAGTAAAAACTAATAATATTTCACTTATAAAAAATAATTCTTATAGAGTAGAACTATAATATTTATAATTAAAAACTTCTTATAATTATAGAATTATTTAAAAAATAGTAATACTAACTTAAAAATATAGAATATTTAATAAAAATAATTACTAATTATAAAAGTCTTAAATACTTTATAACTAATAAAAAATTATTATAAAAATAGATTAAATAGATATAATATCTTATAATATTTAAATTCTTTTTAATATATAAACCGGATTTATAAAATCCAGCAGATATTTTATTATAATAATCTAACTATAAGAAAAAGACTATAAAAAAACTATAAAAAACTTAAAAAAATAATATTATAATAGTTAAATAATTTTTTAAATCTAGAAAAAACTATAGTTATTCTTATAAAAATTAGAATACTATTAATAAAAAATATTATAGAAGATCTAAACTAGCTAAAATCTTATATAAATATAGTTAAAATAATTATAAAAAAAATATATACTATAAAAATTTATTTACTAATTTTATATAAAAAATTATCTTAATTATTACAGAAGAATAATCTCGCAAAAAAAATATTTTAAATAAAATAGAAAAAAAACTGCAGAAATAGTTTTTTTTATAAAAAAAAATACCTGCAGAAAAAGAATTATTTATAATAAAATATTAATTAAAAACTACTTTATTTTATAAAAAAGTTATATATTCCGAATAATTACCAGCTAAAACTAAAGATTCTTATAAAATTATATAATAATTTTATTATAAAATATTTTATAAGAATAAAAACCCAAGAATTAGTTTTATAAAAATTTTAGTAACTAAAACTAATTAAATTTATATAAAACTATTACTATATATATAAAATATATTAAAATAAATAAATAATTTATAAAAAATAATAAAAATTATTAAAATTATTACTATTTATTATAAAACTCTAAAAAGAAGTAACTATAAATTTTATTATAGATTTATTTATAAATATCTATAAAAATAAAAACTTATAAAAAATTTATAATAATATTATAATTATAATAAA